ACACCCAAACTCAGGACTGTATGACACGCGTACTACGACCGTATTGTAGTGTAAATGTGTGCTAAGGTCCTTATTCTAGAATTGTTATTTGCTGACTTTGTGTTACAATACTGTTGCTAACAGTTGTTGTGGAATTAGTGTGTTGTTTACATTGGGAATTTAGAACTTTACTAGTAACTATTTAAGTGATAATATCCGAGAAGCCAGTGTTTGGAGGATAGTGCCTTCGGAAAGTATTCAGACCCCCTTGATATTTTCCACATTTTGTTACGTTACAGCCTTATTCTAAAATGGATTAAATAAAAAATAAATCCTCAGCAATCTACACACAACACCCCATAATGACGAAGTGGAAACAGGTTTTTTGAAATCTTTGCCATTTTATTAAAAATAAAAAAATAAAAAACCTTATTTACATAAGTATTCAGACCCTTTGCTATGAGACTTGAAATTGAGCTCAGGTGCATCCTGTTTCCATTGATTATCCTTGAGACGTTTCTACAACTTGATTGGAGTCCACCTGTGGTAAATTCAATTAATTGGACATGATTTGGAAAGGCACACACCTGTCTATATAAGGTCCCACAGTTGACAGTGCATGTCAGAGCAAAAACCAAGTCATGAGGTCGAAGGAATTGTCCGTAGAGCTCCAAGACAGGATTGTGTGAAGGCACAGATCTGGGGAAGGGTACCAAAAAATGTGTGCAGCATTGAAGATCCCCAAGAACACAGTGGCCTCCATCATTCTTAAATGGAAGAACTTTGGAACCACCAAGACTCTTCCTAGAGCTGGCCGCCCAGCCAAACTGAGCAGTTGGGGGAGAAGGTTCTTGGTCAGGGAGGTGACCAAGAACCCGATGGTCACTCTGACAGAGCTCCAGAGTTCCTCTGTGGAGATGGGAGAACCTTCCAGAAGGACAACCATCTCTGCAGCACTCCACCAATCAGGCCTTTATGGTAGAATGGCCAGACGGAAGCCACTCCTCAGTGAAAGGCACAAGACAGCCCGCTTGGAATTTGCCAAAAGGACTCTCAGACCATGAGAAACAAGATTTTCTGGTCTGATGAAACCAAGATTGAACTCTTTGGCCTGAATGCCAAGCGTCACGTCTGGAGGAAACCTGGCACCATCCCTACGGTGAAGCATGGTGGTGGCAGCATCATGCTGTGGGGATGTTTTTCAGCGGCAGGGACTGGGAGACTAGTCAGAATCGAGGCAAAGATTAAAGGAGCAAAGTACAGAGAGATCCTTGATGAAAACCTGCTCCAGAGCGCTCAGGACCTCAGACTGGGGTGAAGGTTCACCTTCCAACGGGACAACAACCCTAAGCACAGAGACAAGACAACGCAGGAGTGGCTTCGGGACAGGTCTCTGAATGTCCTTGAGAGGCCCAGCCAGAACCCTGACTTGAATCCGATCAAACAGCTCTGGAGAGACCTGAAAATAGCTGTGCAGCAACGCTCCCCATCGAACCTGACAGAGCTTGAGAGGATCTGCAGAGAAGAATGAGAGAAACTCCCCAGATAAAGGTGTGCCAAGCTTGTAGCGTCATGCCCAAGAAGACTCAATGCTGTAATTGCTGCCAAAGGTGCTTCAACAAAGTGCTGAGTAAATGGTCTGACTACTTATTGTTAGAAATTGCGTAATTCAAATCTGGTATTGGAATAAGAGAAAACATAATCAAGAGATATTCAATCCAAGCTAAATTTATTATATGCAAAATGTATGTATGATAAGTATGTTGGTTCGTATACGGGCTCACTGAAATACCACGCAGGGTAGACAGAGAACTAATCCATTGTTATGAGTTCTTCTTAAAATACTCTGACAGAGATAGTTCCCGCTCCCTGCTGGCCAATCAGAGTAGAGACTGAGCGTGGTTTAGACTTACTCAGCCTATCCGTTGGCGCACCGGCTGGTCCCAGACCCTTGGCGCTCCACTGTTGCACACTGTTGCCAGGCATAAGTTGTTATAACAACCTGTAGAGTCAGCGCCCATAGACACCGTTCCACTGTACTCTAAGTACCTACGTTCAAGGACGGTTCACAGACAACGGTTCACAGACAACAAAGAGGCAGTGTTCGTATCTGTAAGAAATACAAGTCTTATCTCATCCTACCCCCTAACGTTCCTCACATGAATCACAGCTTGTTATGTGAAACAATTTATATCAGTACAGTACAAACCTTTTATGCTTATCATTAATGCATTCTTTCTAAGCTAGGTATCACATCCAGTTATGAGAAAATAGATCCCCACATTATGTAAATGTGATATTTCAGTTTTAGAGTTTTTTTTTATAAATTAGCAAAAATGTCTAAAAACAAGTTTTTGCTTTGTCATTATGGGGTATTGTGTGTAGATTGATGAGAGAAAAAAAACAATTTCATCAATTTTAGAATAAGGCTGTAATGTAACAAAATGTGGAAAAAGTCAAGGGGTCTGAATACTTTCCGAAGTAGAGTGCCGGAAAACCGTGCCAATATATCCTTCAAACTGTCAGGAGCTGATGTGGATGTGGTGTAGGAGTCAGGCGCAGGACACAGAGGCTTAGTCCAACAGACTTTACTTGTCATAAAGTGACAAAATACAAAATACGGGCCTTGAACAAACAGAGGCGAGCGATTACGCAAACTGTGCGTAAAAACACCAAAACAAATAAACAGAGCAGAAACTCGCAGCTCCTACGGACAGGCGGACAATAACACACAACACAAGACTAACCAAACGAGAAACTTATAGGAGACATAATCAACCAAACAGGAAACAGGTGTACACAATCAGACAAAACCAAACAGACATCGAAACATCAAACGGTGATAGCTAGTACTCCGGGGACGACGACCGCCGAAGCCTGCCCGAACAAGGAGGAGGAGCAGCCTTGGCCGAAACCGTGACACAAACACTGGCTTCGAGGGCATTGTCACTTTTATACAAAGGGTTACCAACATATTAAAATAATGGTTGACATATTTTCATTAACTTTATTTTGATGAATTTATTCATACTATTTCATCCTTCCACAAGACATAGTCCCGACACAAGTCTAGGGTTGCTACCCAAGCCGGCTGATCGTTCGTTCTATCAGTTCAGTGGCCAGAGATGCGACCCAGTCGTTCAGTCTTTTTGTTCTGTATCTATAGACGTTCTAAATGTTCCATTGCCATACTGGCTGGCAACGTTCTTATCCCTTGCTTGCTAGCTAGCCAACTACGGCTAATTTACAGTCACGTCAAACAGTGCAGCCAGAATAACAACAAAGTAGCGGCATTTGCATTTGTTTAAGCTGTTTTCTAGTGGCATTTATTTAGATACATCCATAACAATGAGCTAATGAGGCGCAATTTTGCCTGGCATAGAAAATGTGCTCTCTCGTCAGGACACTGTTGTTCAGAGGAGCTAGCCAACAACACAGCTAACACAATCACTTCAAACTGAAGCTGGAAAGACTGCAAACTAGCTGCACTTCGTTTCAATTGATATTTCTTTGTATATACAATATCCATAAAAATTATGCCAGCTGATTTATGATTTCGACTGGCTGAGAAACGCTGCCTGTCTGTCTCGTCCCCACACGTTCATTAATATGGGACAGCTGGAGATCGAATTTGAATATTGAAACAATGTTGCAAATGTCAGAGAGACAGACAGCAAAGTTTATGCGAATCTCAGCTGTTGGAAACTAAATGTTAGTCTAAAAGAAATGTGAGATCATGTCTAGATGCTTTTTATAGTGGAGATCAAGTTTATAAATTGCCTGGCTGTGCTGATGAGACAGTGGATTGTGCAGTCAGATGGAACAGAGCTAATAGGCATTTTAATGTCATAGATTTAGCCGGTGGTAACTTGTGGAATAGACACCGGCTGGAATGCGGTTTTAACCAATCAGCATTCAGGATTAGAACCACCCATTGTATAAACACATATACACACACACTCACTTTATTTGTACTCATGTTATAGCCAACTCATGACTTTTTGTATTAATTGTTAAAAAATATTTGTATGTAGTTCATTATCATGTATTCATTTTCTTTAATTGGTTAAATGTTTGAAGTTTGCATGTTTCAGTAATGATTAACATGGTTAAATAGTTGTAAATCTCTGCTTGATTTAGCTTTCAGTATATTTACAATTTTTATACTTTCTTTATTTCCACGGAAGAAAGCAATAATTAATCAACACACAATACTGTAAATAAATGGACGCTACCTGTTAAAAAACTGATATTGCTCTCCGTAAATAAATGGTGAGAAATGCTCAGTCTGAAGCCATTCAGCTTTGGGTTTGATAATGATACAAGTTATATCATCTTAAAAAGGGTTTATTTACAACGTCTGGGGTATAACATGTTGGGCAAAATGGTATAGGAGAGTCTGACATATAAACCCTAACTTGAGTTCAGTCTTCGCCAATGAGAACCAAGAGGGGCCTAGCTTCGTGCTTCGTCCTTCGTGACTGGGAAAGGCCTCAATTCTAGGCCGTAGAAGATCCTGTATTCTCATATCTCATTAGATCAGAACAAGATGGAACAGTGATTCATATTACTGCTTTGCATCCCCCAAAAAAGGATAGTTGTGTTTTGCTGCATAACACACATTTGCCTACCCATATGATGTGGATCATTGTCAGGTTATTTTATATATAAGCTTCAGTAAAGAAAAATAACACTATGGTTGCAATAACACTTTAAACAGGTAGTTTGTAAATGTGTAG